AGTGATGTGTATTAATTGAGCTATAGGTTCATCTACTCTAAAATTTTCCTTTTAAATAGAACAAAGCTGGTTGTATTTTAAGAATTTTCAAAGTCTGTTTAAATTTGCTTATTGTGAGTTTTATTGTTGGCATATACAGCTTTTCTCTAAAGTAAAGCTTTAGCATGTCTTCTCATTTAGGGGTAAAACTACGGGAAATAATGCAGGCTTTTTGGTTCCCCTCTGATGAAAAAAGCCAAGTGGTGTCTTTTTCAATCCTCATCCTCTTCCCTGGCTTTAAATACCAACAACTTTATGCAACAATGTCCCTTGTGGTTCACCTAAAGCAAAAAGACCTCAGCTGTGAGTGTTAAGCTCAAAAAAGTAAAGAAAAAAAATCTGCAGCATTACAGGCCGTAAGGAAGCTGGACACAGATAAGAAAATTACATTTTCAGTAGGAGAAGGAATAGTATATGTGCAGGTGTGTTTGTGTGCGATTACATTTTCCTAATAAATTTCAAGTCTTATCTTGATGGCAGAGAGGAAGGTTGGTAGCAATCGCTACCAGAACCACCATGTGCCAAGGGCCTCAGCCTTGCTACCTCCAAGGAAATGAAAACCTCACCCAGAAAATTAGATTGGCCTGATGCTTGGATACATCAAACTGAAGGATTGATCAAAGAAGCATAGCATAAAAGACAGCACAAACACTGCTTTAGTTCCTTGGAGACTGAGAGAAAGCCCCAAAAAGCTAAGAATAAAGGCAAAAAAATTCACAGTTTCCAAGCAGGTGCTGCAGGAACTACAAATATAAAGCAAGGCCCACGAGCTTACACCACATAGAAAAGGCTATTGGCATGGTGTATAGTAAGGATTTAGAATATTCCATATAAAAGCAGAAGCAGATATTAATATTGTGATTAAAATTACAAAAACTGGCAGACAGTGATGACAGCCAACATTATCAGAGATTTCAGTGAATATTCATCACTGAATATATATCACTGAGAACTGGCAATGCGATGAGCATATGATGATGAACTTCTGTTTGATCATCTCTGAGTTTCTTACCCATTGATCTGTGTCTCAAAAGCTAGGACTTATAAAAGGGGTAAAGGTAATTTCTCACCTTTCTGACATTTTGAAAGAAAAAAACTTATGCTGAGGGGGCTGATGGATGGACACGGGAATAAAATCTGAGTTTGTCAAGTAATCGTAGAGCACTTTCGGTTGGGAAGGACCTTCAAAGACCATCTTGTCCAATCTCCCTGTCATGGGCAGGGACACCTTCCACTAGAGTAGGTTGCTCAACCTGACTAATGTCAGGCTACTCCAAAGACTATATCAGCTACCATCTATTATTTTTCACATTCTGCTTATGAAAATAGTGAAGCTGAGAAAGATTTGACTAAAAATGTTCATCCCAAAACTGCCGTATCACCTATTTAATTAATTACATATTCTTTCAGAGGAAGAAGAAATGCACAGATAACTCCAAAAACGGTAGACTTGATTCATCTTAAAACCCTTGAAAAATTGACAAAGTAAAGTCCTGGCTTTTTCTAGAAGTTTTGAAGATGCCACCTGTACTGCTAATAGGTTTAAATGCTTCTAACCTCATCATTCACAGTATTTATTCCCCATCTGAGCAGCACGTTTTGCTTTGGAAAAGAAGCACATAATTAAATAACAGGATTTCTTAGGACTGTAAGTGTTTGGTCGCTACCTGTGTGAAAAGAAATCTGAACATTTTGAAACTATTTATCAAGTTCTTTCTGCACTAAACCAACTCTGTGACATCTTTTGTCTCTCTATAATGGCTTCCTGGAAGCCATGTTCAAAACAGTTTGTCATACACGAAAAGGCAATAGTGCTTTGATACCGCATATAATGCACATGCTGAAAAACAGGTGCAAAATCCTGTGTCATGAGGGACTCTATTTTAAAATAAAAAGCCTGTTAGTGAAGTAGCTGAAGAGACAGAGTCTATTAGACTTCCATTAGAACCTTGCTTCCTTCTGAAAACAAGGTTTGTGAACTACATAGAAAAAAAAATAAATTCACCCATCCAGGAGCTGAAGAAATCAATGGTTTCAAAGTCACAGAAACTTTCTTAACAAGTAGAAAAAATAAGTCACATTCTGCAAAAGACAGTTCTAAACGTTGTGTTTTCAAAAAATTCTTAACACATATGATGCAGAATGATGTGGATTGAGAAAAATTAACCCTGTTTCAACAGCATACACAGATCGTAACTGCCAAACTCCCACAAGTGCAAAATATAGAAGAAAAAAACAAAAACCCAACCACCACCAGGCTATTGTTAGGAGTATAGTATGACTTAAACATGTACTAATATTAAAATATTGAATGACCAAATTTACTGGTCCAGTGCAAAAATATTTTGTGAAATAACCAGGGGAATTGTAGAACAAAAATTGTCTAGTAATTATTCCAAAGCACTTGGCTTTGTCAAGATTATAAGAGCTCCTACAGTGCTGATACTTTAATGAAAACTGTGGCTGACCTGGTGATGACATATTTTGCTGTGTCCTAAGTGTTGCTGCCTTCCAGGATTTCTGGGAACACCAGGAAAATCTGTGTCACACACACTGGATTTGACAAAACTCACCACTGTTCCTTCCTCTCCGGCCTCCTATAAAGTGAAAATTGGCTAAAGTACTTATTGAGAGATATATATACATTTTTATCTTTTATATATATTTTAAAGATGGGATTTTAAAGTTTGACTTTGAATAAAATTCTGTTTTTAAAATATCACAATTAATGTTTTCTTACAAGTGGTCAAAGAAAAACTAGCAAAAAAAAATAAAACAAACCAGCAGTTGTCTTGCAGTCCCAAGAGTGATGTTTTGCTTACAAACATGACAATAATATTCTTTACCAGATGTGTGTCTGGGCTTGTTAAAACATGTTTTTATATAATCATGACATGTGTATGGCTTTATGATTTATGTTTTTCAAAATGGACCACTAATAATTCTCTTAACAGAAGAATTGGAATAATAAGCCTTAAGTAATTCAAATGACCACTTGAGGGGTGGGCCTGTGTGAAGCTCATGAAGTTCAACAAGGCCAAATATAAGGTCCTGCACCTGGGTCAGGGCCATTCCGAACACAAATACAGGCTGGGCAGAGAATGGATTGAGATTAATCCCGAGGAGAAAGACTTGGCAGTGTTGGTGGATGAAAAGCTCAAGATGACCCAGCAATGGGTGCTTGCAGTCCTGAAGGCCACCCATATCCTGGGCTACATCAAAAGAGGTATGACCAGCAGGTGAAGGCAGTTGACTTTCCATCTCTACTCTGCTCTTGTGAGATCCCACCTGGACTACTGTGTCCAGCTCTGGGGTCCCCACACAAGAAAGATGTGGACTTTGTGGAATGAGTCCAGAGGAGAGCCATTAAGTTGATCCCAGTGCTGAAGCACCTCTCCTATGAAGACAGGATGAGAAAGTTGGGGCTGTTCAGCCTGGAGAAACGAAGCCTCCAGGAAGACTTTAGAGCACCTTCAGTACCTAAAGGGGGCTTACAAGAAAGCTGGAGAGGGACTTTTCACAAGGACATGTAGGGATAGGACAAGGGAGGATGGCCTAAAGCTGAAGGAGGGTAGATTTAGACTAGATATTAGGAAGAAGTTCTCTACTATAAGGGTGGTGAGACACTGGAACTGTTTGGTGGGCTTCCCATCCCTGGAGGTGTTCAAGACCAGGTTGGATGGGGCTCTGAGTAGCCAGAGTAACCCAGCTTAGAGAACTACCTCAAGAATTGTACTGTCAGTAACCAGTCCAGCTGCTTGACCATCTGTAAGTCATTACTGCGTACCCCATGCAGTATTTGTGAGTGCAGAAGGCCTAGCAATATCTTTACCTCTTTGTCGAATCCTGGTGTGGGTGCAGTCTGTAGGTTATCATGTTTTGTTAGATCTTCACTAACTGAGCTTATTGAAAATCATATTAATTTTTACTTCCATGTCATTAGTAAATTTGTCTTGTAAAAGACCTGGTTGTTGCTCAGTTCACTCAGAAACGCTATTTATTCACTCTGGCAATAAGTTCTACTTATTTCTTAAATCCTGTTTCCTACTGATGTTAAGCATCAGTCTTTGCATGCAAACAGTAATGGCCACAGAAAAATTTCAGAAAAGGAATTAGAAGAAAGCTCATTGTGAGATCCCCAGGTTTGTGGATGATACTACGTTTGTTTGGGTGATCAAATGCCACTGATAGCAGGAAGGATTTCACAGAATGGAGTGAGTTTGCAGAAAGCTAGCAGGTAAACTTCAGTGTAGAAATGGAGGGAAACATAGTAAGGGAAAAATAATCTAAATAATCTAAACCATGGCTATATAATGCTGAAGTCAGATCTGGCCATTTCACCATAGGAAGATGAAGAAAGAAGAAAGAAAGGAAGGATGAAAGGAAGAGAAAGAAAGAAAGGAAGAAAAAAAGGAAGGAAGGAAGGAAGAAAAGAAAGAAAGAAAGAAAAAGAAAGAGAAAAAAAAGGACACAAAATAGAAACAAAGGCATCATTTGGCTGCTTTGTAAGCATCCTTATGAAAACATCTTGAACTGCATTCAGCTCTGGTCTCTACAGCTCTCGGAGATACTGGAGTTCAAGAAGGAACAAAGAAGGATGACTGAAGTGATTAAGGGAATGGAGTAACTTTTTAGTGAGGACAGAGCTTCTCTATTTAGAGAGTAATGAGTTAAGGCTGGATTTGATTAAGGGTTGCAAAATCCATGCAGCAGAAAAGTTGAGTTGGGGTATGGTATTGCCCAGATTCTGAAATACAAGAACATCATTCAATGAAACAAATAAGAAACTGGTTTAAAACTTATGGAAAGTTATTTTTTTTGCATAAAGAGTTTTGAATGTCTAGAATTTGCTTCCAAAGAAGATCATACAGTCAGACAGTAAGAGCAAACTCAAAAAAGAATTGGACACATTCTTAGACAAAGGGTCCACAGAGAGTAATGGGAATAGAGTCACAAGTTACCTTCTAACATCCACAGCCAATGATTTTGGATGCTGAGGGAGTACAGGGAGTACAGGGAGTACAAGAATCCCCAAATGGCATCACTTCCTGCTGCTGTTGGAACATAACAAGGGACCAAAGGATTTGCATGTTACTCCAATTCTGCTGAAAATTCTATCCTTCCTTTCTCCCATCTTCTCCTTTTGTCTCAGCTTAGATTTTATATTTCTGTTGTGTTCCTTTGCAAAAGTATTAATTCAAGCTCAGAAAATCCTTTTTACCTTCATTACTTAATAAAGCATATATCTAAGAAAATACCTACTATGAAAACATCTCAGAAACATCTATTTACTATGTTTCCAGCATGACACAGTTACTGACACAGTAAAAAACAAAGAGATGAGGGAAGCTGGGCTGACTGACATCATCCACAGGGTTGAATTTTGGGTATCTCCTCCCAAAAAATGTTTTCAAGTGAGAACCAATATGTTCTCATAAAATTAAGAGATATTATCAAAGCAGGATTACTTTATTTCATGTCAATTTAAATTGGAGAACAAGATTCTATGACTAAATATACATAGTTTGAATTGCAAATCATTGTATTATCTCCATACATTATTAGGGTACATATTTCCTTTCAACAGATAATAATCATGACTACATGTATTTCAGTTTTTGTTCACAACTCATTTATGAAAACACACAGTGTGTAGATAACCTTCTACATCTCTTGCCAGAGCTGAGGTCTTGGAGCTTGCGGAGAAGAGGATGTGCAGTTCCCCACTCTTGTCTTTCTTCAGAACATGCACAATTTCAGTTGAAGTCTTTGCCATTTTTCCCTTGGAACAACTGAGTCTGAGGAGATCTCAGAGTCTTTATTATGGCATCCTCCAATTAATTCTATTTTAAATAGGCTGAAATGACTGTTTTTAATCTTGGCAGTGTGAGGGCAGTGATTCAGCATTGTCACAACTTAAGGATGTGAGCAGGTGTGAGGAAATGACAGATTTATTCCAGTGCTGGGTGAGTAGGAACATGCCAATGCAGTCTGCTAAAGGATCAGGTCTTCCACAACATAATGATACCCAATTGGTATAGATGTCTTTAAAAATGAAACATCATTTACTGCTTTGGCTTCTAAAATGTTAGAACATAATTTTAAAACTTCTGTATTACCCGTTTTACACAACCCTTTGGTGCAGCAGTGCTCTCTTTGGAGTGATGCTTACACTCCAAATCACACAGCAAACAGCACTGCCTGTACTGATCCCCTGAGAGCTGGATCAGGCATACAATTTGACAAGTTGAACAAATTTAAAACCTTAAACCATGGGTGGACTGCTTTGAGTAGGAAGGTATCTGTGACTATTTAAAATTTTCTACCCACTGTACTAGCTAAGAAAAATCTAGGTTCCCACTACTGTTTCCATAAGCTTCTCTTCCAAGATTTACACACCTACTATGTATTTTCCTGGTGTCTCTAAACCCCATGCTCTACATGATAAATAGATATTCAGTTTGAAAAGCTATAATACATTTCTATTTCATCATGTTTATTAGAGATCTGACACACACACTTCTTTTCTAATTTGTAATTGGACATGAGAACAGCCATAGCTGTAAGAACAGAGATAATATAACTCCCTCCTATGAAGATAAATTAAGTGTAATGCACACCAAATGAGACAATGAAGGCATTATTAACAATGATGAGGGGCAGGCTTGAGGACTTTGAAGCTCCAGTGCCCAGTTTTCAGCTGCACCACTCTTCTGAGTTACAACATACCGACTACAGCAGTTCTTGCCCAGAGACCTCACCACATCGAGCCTTGCTAAATACTTTGCAGTTCTGCTTGGTTAAATGGAATTTGTGATGGGTCAAAAGCTACAGATCCATGATTTCACAAAAATGGGAAGTGATGGCATATGTTGAGGACAAAGGAAGGAAAGAAAGAGGATGCAGAAGGAGGTTGGCATAAGGATAAATGACCTAATGTAAAAAACGTATGTAGACCTGACTCCAAATATCCTAACATTAATGTCGGAAAAGACTGGGATTTGCATCTTCAGGAACACAGACTTGACAGATGTTTGCTCCATATCAGCAATGTGCATCTTTTACCAAATCATTTATACTTTCAGGTGATAGCAAATTTGAGTGCAGGACTCCAGAGTAAGTGGATTCCACCTACTAAGTTCTGCTTGAGCCCTGTTGCTGCAGTTACACCAGCAATGCCACACAAACACAGAAGTTGTCAGCTATACTGACAAAAAAATGTAGCTTTCTCGATTTCCACTGAAATATGATAAGCATTTATCTCAGTGGCAGTGGCAGCAGAAGCAGCTCTTGTGCACTTAACCCTGGCACTGGCTTTCTTGTTGTGCAACTGCCTGTGGCCTCACATTGATCCAGAGGAGAGATTAAAAATCACAGAATCATAGAATGACTTAGGTTGGAAAGGACCTTAAAGATCATCTAATACCAAGCCCCGTGCCATGGGCAGGGACATCTTTCAGTAGACCGGGTTAGGGTTACTCATAGCCCCTTTCAGCCTGGCCTTAAACACTTCCAGAGATGGGACATCCACAACTTCTCTGGGCAACCTGTGCCAGTGCCTCACCACCCTCAATAAAGAATTCCTTCCTAATATCTAATCTAAACCTACTATCTTTCAATTTTAAAATAACCCTTTTGTCAGACTATTTTTAACCAGATGAGTCTCTCGATCCAGCTAATTGCACAATCCCACAAGAAGCAGGTAGGTGGGAGAGGGGGGTGCTTCTAGATGTGGAACGTGTTCAGGGCTATGGGGTGCAGCACTGCCTCTGAAGAACATCGGGAATGTGGTGTTTCCACCAGACCAGCTTCTAGTGGGATTGATTCACCAAATGCTTCTGGTGTTGGATATGCTGTCCTCTCATTCCTGGAAACTGTTGTTTTCTGGAGGTACGTTTCCTTCAGTCCCAGCTCACCAGGGGAGGCTCAGAGAGCTGAGGTCTGCAAGTGCTGCTGCTGGCTCTGGCAGAGCTCCCCTCCGGAGGATGGGGATGATAGCACCCGGGGCCTTTTCAAATGGGTGTTGCTATGGGCAACTGTATGTAGGAGAACGTAGGCAGAGGCTGAGAAAGCCAGGGGGATGGAGCAGAGTAGAAACAACAGCCTAGCAGGAAAGCTCTAGGAGGGGGTACAAATGCGGATAAAGCGGCATCTCAAGCAGTCTGCTAGCAATTGCAAAAAATCGCAGCCAATGTGCCAGTGGAATTGTTTATTGCTTCTGGAAGCAGATGTGAGTTTTCCTCCTTCTTAAAATGAGGGTGCTGAGGTGCCTGTTCCTCTGAGGACAGGGAGCAGACAAAGAGGTGCAGAGACACAGCAAAGCAGTCAGCTCTGCACCTTCCTCTCCTGTCTTCTCTCCTCTGTGAAAGATGAGGAAAAGCTGACATATGGACAGGTAGAGTTGTCCATCATGATTAATCTAATACCTTCCTCATTTCTAGCTGGGCACAATTTTCTGGGTTTTGTTGGTTTTGGTTGTTTTTTTGGAACCATCATTACTCAGTTTTTTTTTAAGAGAAATTCAGTTTCTCCAAAGGCACTTGCAGAGTGTCTGACAGGTGTTTGTACAAGCCAGTTTAACCTGAGCAGGTCAGCTGTCCAGCAAAAGAGCAGGTTACCTTCTGTGCAACCCTCCATTGAAGAAAAATGTTCTTTCTTTCTATTAACACAAAAAGTAGCAGAAACAGCTATTACACACCTGCATTTAAAAGCTGACTTTCGCTTCCAGTTGTTTTGCAACTGTATTTAGGAGTACAAGATGGACAACTCCATGCATACCACCGTGCCTCAGCTTTGGTAACTTTCCTATGACTGTATAGCACCGAGCCAGAAAGCACTGTGAAAGTGAGATATCAGCTATGCCAATGCCACTGCTGGAAACCTGTGACAGTGTTTTCCCTCTGTCCTCCGGTTTGCCTTTTCCTGCTGTCCTGGTCTCTCCCTTGGATACAGGCACGGGGGAACCAGGAGTTCAATACTGCTCCTTCTATCTCAAAGGCCACATGGACAACTGATTTTTCTTATTTTAATATTCCATCCCATTGCTGTTTCCTTTCTCTTCCCAGATACAAGATAAAGCATTAGCTTGTTTGCCTGCCAGCCAGTTCAGGAGGAGAGGGACGAACTGGGATGTTACACAACCAGGCTCCTTTGGGACACACTTGTCCAGATTAGACTCCAGCCACCTCTGTTTTATATGATGGCAGCTCAGCTAAATCAAGCTTTTTTTCAAGTATGGTAAATTACTCACTTTTTAACACAAACCCAAGTGAGACTAAAGACTCCTGGGATCTTTTTCAGCCAAACATTAGGCATGTGCAGTTTTAACTTTCCTGCTTTATGGTATTTCTTTTTAAGGCAAGAAATTGACTGCAAAAATAAACAAGAACTTATCCTGAAATTTGCAAGGAGGTCTTTAATATAATAAAATTTATTTTAGTCTTCTATTTCCCAGAGAACAGAAGCAAGCTCTCTGAAGAAGTAACAGTGAAACAGTCAATGACAGTTTATATTTCATTGCCATTTTTTCAATGAAGGATGACTTTATCCAAGCCAAACTGTAATAAATTGAACTAAGTCATGTCAGGAACTGTCACATCTTCAGGTCTCCAAATATTTTCTAGCATCATTAAACAGGTTCAGTAAGAGTCTGCCAGCACCTCATAGAAAAATCTGAGACATCTTCTAACTAGCAGTGGTTCTACCTAAAGACAGCATTCAGCTTTCTTGCCCATTTTACTCCTCTTCGCATTTGATACAGGCATAATCTGCTAGAAATGAACAACCTCACTTTCTTAAGATTTTAAGCTTCTCTTCCCTGCTATTATGTGCATGTAAACTCACTGGAACATTGCAAGAGAGAATTATGGCTTTATATACAAAATACAGAACAGGACAAGATTTCACTTCAAAGCAGCACATGCACATCCAGAGATGAAGAACCATTTTTAGCACACTGGATAAAATGAAATTGTTCACG